TGGAACACCAGTGGAATATTTGGAACACCAGTGGAATATTTGGAACATGCTCCTAGGCGAATCTTGGCAGGTTTTAGTAGATGGATACAAAATCGCCCATGGTGAAAATCTAGTATTTTCTGATTTTCTTGGACTGTGTTTGAGCTATCGAGAATTGGAATACACCATTCGATAGAACTCATCGAGTTGTACTTGGAACACACCCTGGGACTGTTGGAAGATGTTCCTGGGCGAATCTTGGCTGGATTTACTCGAATCTGGTGCTAACTTCACCTACATAATTTTTTTAGTGTTGTTATTAGGAACATTGACTGTATATTAAAAGAGCAATACAAGTATGTGAGCATTACCTTTCTCTTTCCTTCATTTTCTCTAGGTGAAATCGTATGCACATAGCCAACAAATCATCGGAGCAACAAGGATACATAGGTAGTTTATAAGAACAAGCAGCCGTAATCGGTTTCATCCTTGTTTAAGGGGCTCATCAGACGTCAAGTTCAAATTCATCATTATCTAAAGATAACAATGAAACTGCAATCGACCCCTATGAAATAGAAGAGATACAGTGTTAAGTATGGCTACTTTATAAGAACAAGCAGTCATGACCAGTTTCGTCGTTATCTTAGGATAATGATGAATTTGAACATGCCGTCTGATGAGTCCCTTAAGCAAAGACGAAGCCGGTCACGGCTGCTTGTTCATATTAACTCTAAGTTGAATCAATTATCACAAAATTTTGATAAAAATAATGATCAAAAAAAAAAAATGTTCAGAAACACAATGTAAATGATTCGTTATAAGCGAACAAAATTTTTGATAATAAAAATTTTATTATCATTATATAGCGGATCTTACAAAAGAGATTTCAAAAGGTACTCAACCGCTTCAACAAACAATTGATAATCTATGAAAACAGCAACAAGCATTACTCGAAGTAATACATGATTTACCGAAAAAATTTCATGCTATTCAACAATCTCAACTACAAACAGATTTAATTAAAGAACTTTCTCCAAAACTTGATCCAATAACTCAATCAATTAAAGCTATTAAAGATAGATTTTTTTTTCCTTTAATTTGTCTAATTGAATAATGACTAGAAGCAGTACAAAAACAAGAGAAAACTATTGACTATGTATAAAATAAATTGGTATGAAGTTAATTTTTCTTTTCATTAATAATGAAACTTTTGATAAATAATACGATATGATTTGAAAAATAACATTCATATTTTTATTTTTAAATACAAATATTTTACAGTTGATAAGTAAAAACGAAAAACAAATTGAGAAAAGAAAATAAGTAGTCAGTTATATTATAATTATCTTTAACACACATTTGTCATATATAACAAAAAAAAAAAAAAAATTAAAACCACAAACGAAATCGTGATATGTCAACATCTATTCGACTATGAGGAAAGCGAGTTTGAACCATTAACCGATAAGGTTCAACTTTTTTGGGATCAGTTTTACCATAAACATTGAGAAAGGTAAATTCTTTTAAGTTCTCCTTCAATTGACAAAGATCTTGTTCAAAGACGGTCACATGTTGAGCTAAAAAAAAAAAAGAATTATATTATAAGTGTATTGTCTCGTACAAAATCATTGTATTTCAATGTATATATATACCAATGGATTTGATTGTTTGTAAAGACTTCAACCATCGTTGATATGAAGACGTATATTCATATTTTTCTCCATAATCCGGTCGAACTTAAATATAGAAAAAGGCAATGCAACAGTATGACATGATACAATAGAGAAAAATTTCAATTAGAAACAGTTTTCTATCTCTTTCTTTAAGCAAATAGATTATTTTAAGAGATCTCCTTTTCTGTTATTTTAAAAAACTATCGTTTTATATTTTTATGTTCGACTGAACAACTTTTGTTATATAATTTGGTTTAGTGAAAAGTCAAATTAACTGTCAGTTTTGCTAAATACAGTTTCAAAATAACAATATCTAAAGATTCGGAACAAATGCTTGAGAAAAAAAATCGATCTTTTACAATTCATTTCATTGCTTGCTTAGTTCAGTAGAAGAAAATAAATATGCTACCAACAAAGATTTCATTCTTATGATTTTCTTCTAATTCAAAGATATGAAACCGATTACAATTTTGAACTGAAACTAAACTAATGTTAAAACCAACCAAATAAACCAATCTGAGAAAGATCTCTATTAATTCACATAATTTGAATTTTTTTTAAACATAACTGATTATTGAAATTTTTCAAATTAATCTATAAAGATGAATAAGACGCAATATCTTTAACTAAGTTCAACATAAAAAAAAAAAAGAAAATGAATTTGATCAAATATTACATCGATCGTTTAGAATTTGACTAATGTACAAATGCAATTGAAGTTTTCAAAGAATCTGATCTTATTATCCAAGTATGGAGTCTATACTACATTATTATTTATATCTCCTCGGGTAAAATAAGCTATACATCACATTTTTTCCATTATTTCTCTATATCATTGTGATTTGACCTCATATTTATACCACGTATACATCTTTGATTGCTTAACATACTCTGAAAATTTCAGCCGTATAGAATGAGAATTTATTGAGAAAATTACAAATATGTCTCATGTGCTTAGATAGGGGTATAAAGAAAATTCGTTGTTTTCTTTCTGTATTTTGTTTGTTTTCTGTTGTCAATAACATCAACCTTCGATGAATAAATCCGCCTCTATGTGTTTTTTCTAAACATTTTACGAAGTAATCTGCCCCGAAAAGCCTGTAACAGTGCAATCACAATTCGGAAAACGTAATTTATGCGTCAAGGGGGCCCCCCACCTTAGAAAAAGTCAATTTTGATCAAATGTGTCAATTTTGTGATCTATAGCTCGTTAGATAGAGCAAAGTGTCTACTCTCGAATGCACTGTAGTTTATTGATTTTATGATGAGATTTAAGGATGTTACATAGGTTTTTCTGGACCATCATATAGGAAAAAAACGCTTTTTTTTTTTCTGAAAAATTTTAGTTTTTACGTTTCCATGCATTCCAGATTTCTCCGTCATTTTAAATGCTAAACAGCTCGGCTTGATGTCAGAATGAAGGCAAAAATTAATTCTACAACTTAACAGAGCTGGATTTTTCGATTTCCCCATTAATGTTTATAAAAATCTAACTGTTATGGATCTACTCTACCTAGGTTTTCTGTATTTCATCAAAGAAGTTTTCTAGGAACACAGGCTAGGAGGAAATTGAACGATCGGCCCCTGTTAAGTTGTAGAAGTAATTTTTGTCTTCATTTTGACACCAACCCGAACTTTCTAGCATTTAAAATGGTGGAGAAATTTGGGGCAATGAAAACCTAAATTTTGACCCATATTCTATCTTTATCATGTTGTTCGATGGTATAACGGATATAAAGATAATTATAGTTTGCATCATCTATCGTGACATGTCTCATATGAGGATAAATTAATGTACATCGATAAGAGCTTCGATTGTCATCTAATATATTCAGGTTTAATCTTAGTTTTAATTAATAATAGGAAGGCTAATTAAAAAATAATTGTTTTGCGTTTTTCTCAAAATTGATTTTTTTTTGTTTTTTGCTAATGATCGAACTGCGAACAAATTTTTTTTCAATATACTTCAACCTAGAGAGCTGTATTTTTTTTTCATCGATAGATACATGCATAGTCTTTCAGATGAAGGAAATGGAATTTTCTAATTGGTCATCAATGCTAAAGAAACCTTAGGTTTTCCAGAAAACCATGCGTCGGATTTTGAGATTTTGAGATTTCGATGATCTTTAAAATGCAACAAAGTAAAAATTAAAAAAAAAAACGCTTTCCCTCCCCAGGCAGACAAACTTTTTGAAAAACGCGTTTGAACGCATAGAAATTGGCCTAAAATCAGCAAAAAGTGGACGTTTTTGGCTCACACTTGAGGTTCCCGACTGTGAGCCAAAAACACCCATTTTTTGCCCTTTTTGTGCGTTTAAACGCGTTTTCAGGCAAAAAACGCGTTTGCATGCATACAAAAAAGAGAAAAAGTAGCCGTTTTTTCATACTCGAGATACACGACCACGATTACAGTCACGTTTCTTGAGCTGGAAAAGCACAACAACTTTCTTCTCTTTTTTGTGTGCGTGTAAACCCGTTTTTTGTCTGAAAACGCTTTTAAACGCACAAAAAGGGCGAAAAATGGGCGTTTTTGGCTCACAGTCGGGAACCTCAAGTGTGAGCCAAAAACGCCCACTTTTTGCTGATTTTAGGCCAATTTCTGTGCGTTTAAACGCGTTTTCTCAAAAGTTTGTCTGCTTGGGTCATGCGAAGCAGTAATGAGTTCTCTTTCAAATAAAACAAGCTCGAACTCTGCACCTTGAAATATATTAGAAAAAAATTTGTACGCGTGAAAGCCCTGTTTTACAGCTTGGTCCCTCGATATCTCCTGAATGGTAAGGTATAGAGACGTAAAATTTTTTTTACTAATGTACTTTCATGAGCCCAGCATCTATGCAAAGTTTCATCAATATCTCATGTACCTTGTCCAAGTTAGATTTTTGAGGTGGGGGGGGGGGGGGGGGGGGGTCCCCTTAAAGATTGATGTTCTTGAAAATAGAAAAGAAAGAAAATACAGCAAGAAAACAACGAATTTTCTTTACACTGCTACATGAGTACATGAGACATATTTGTAATTTTCTCAATAAATTCTCATTGTATATGACTGAAATTTTCAGAGTATGTTAAGCAATCAAAGATGTATACGTGGTATAAATATGAGGTCAAATCACAAATGGTATGGAGAAATAATGGAAAAAATATGGTGTACAGCTTGTTTTGCCAGCGGGGGGGGGGAGGGGGATATATTGTTTAGTGAAACAAAACAAGGCAAAAATTGAATAAGGCTGATACAAAAAAAAAAAAGATCTTTTCATTCAATTGCAGCTATATATCATTATAAAAATATTTGCTCAGGCTAGCTGAATGATATCACCATCTGACTCTTGAATTATACTCGAAAGTTTCGATACTTTATTCGGGTATTACTTATTATATGTGTCATTGATGATAAAAACCAGCAATCTTCATCTCACTCTGTTAATTGATTATTCTACTGCAAATATTTATCGAATTTGATTTCTTTAATTATTTGTGTAAAACCTGAAAGAGATTGGAAAACGGAAGTCAGAGTCTAGTTTTTATAATCAAGTCAATTTGGGTAAAATATAAAGTGCTGACACATACATATATATATGGGGGTTAGAAGCTTGACTGATACCCCGTTTTGATA